GGCAAGGATTGCAATTCAAAATTGTGTCATTCTAAAACTGAGTGTTTATTCCTAGTTAGGCATTCCAATTCTTCTGTGGAAGCAGAGCCATACAGACTTTGGAATCTGGGAAACTTTGAACTGTTCATTGTCTTTTTGAACCTCTATCCAGGTACAGAGAAGCGTTTCATAATGAATAGAGCCCTTCATAATGCAAGAGATACATGCTACTTTTTAAAACCTAGAACATTAAGTAGAACTTTTGACCTTGTTATAAGTAGCCTAGCAGATACTCATTACATATATTACATACAATATTTTTTTTGGAGGCATGCTTATTATCTAATGAGAGTACTTGGAAAAGGCAATTAATTACTACACACACACACACACACACACACACACACACATATATATATATATTCTTTTTTTCTCTCTTTAAAAGGTATTGTCCCAATGTGCTAAGCTTTTCTGTGATAGTAAGTTCCTTGGAGAATATTTAGCAAATAGTTTTGAAAAACATATAACTGATTGCCTTCCAAGCAACAGGGCATTTTATCTACAAATGAGAAATTCACTGCTTTTTAAAGAGTCTGCAATATCATTTTCAGAACAACTGTTCTGATATTGTTTCCCATGCTTACATCATTTTATTGCTAAAACTCTCTTATGTGGACACTTAAAAATTTGAAAATGTAAATTTCTAGACTTCCTTTGGACTTTCCCAAAAGAAGATAATTGGTTGGCTTCGGCCTGTTAAAAATCTTAAAAGGACAACATTTTAAAGTATTGGTTTGTGAGAACAACTAGCTTTCAAGAGGATAGATTTCACCTAGACTTTAACAAAAAAACTTTAATTAGTTAGTGAATAAGTGGAATATTAAGTGTCAGGATCTAGAAAGAACAACCAACTCTGCCTTTATTCCACTGAAATAAACTCATTTCCCCCAAAGCTTTTTCCCATGATGGTTACCAATCCAAATTTAGAAACAAGCTGAACTTAATACCAGATCTGCGAATTACTGTATTTCAAAGCATTAAACTAGGTTAACAATAGGCACATACATATTTAATCACATTGCTCTCATAAAATTTTAAAATAATTTTTGTGATAAAAAAATGTTTTTTTCTCATTACTTTAAATTTTTGTGTATGTGTTTTATAGTGCTTGTACTAATGTAATGTAAGCACATTATCACATTTAAATGAAGAACCACCAGGGATGTGTCAAACATTGTGTTGATGGGTTTCTGGCCTAAACAGTTTGGAATCCACTGACTAGCAAATTGAACTCCTCCTCCTTTTTAAGTTAAGTTCCAACTTTGAAATTGCTCTTCCATTGGCACACTAAGCACAAATACTGCACGTACTAACCCAGAAAAACAAACCTATCCGCTGCTGGAAGCAGCCTTCCACGACCACCCTCCCAGAACCAGGCGCCCCCACACCGCCCTAAGCCACCGGCGAGGCCTGGAACCCAGGAACCCGGCGGGGCAGGCTCCTCCCAGATCCCGCACGGGGCTTTCCGGGGCTTTCCGAGGCAGAGATAGCACAGGCCTGAGCAACGTGCAATCTGTTGTGAGTCACGGGCCCGGAAGCCTTGCCCGATCGAGGCGGAGGAGCATCCACAAAGCAGAAACAGTAGACTGCAGAGACAGCAGCTGCAGAGACAGCAAGAATCTCGCAGGTACCGCTGGGGAGGCACTGGGGTCCTCGGGTTTCCCCAGCCCTTCTGCCCTAGAGCCCCGTGGAGCGTGGGAGTGGGGTGGAGGGAGGAAGACCAGGGCGGAGAAAGAGGAGAGCACTAGGAGACGACGGCGGGCGGGAACCGGGCAGCGGGGCTGTGGGGCAGCGGGGATCAGCCAGGCACCAGCGCGCCCGGGGTCGCACCCCGAGGTCCGCGCTGCCCGGGCTCTAACCAGAGCCTGGACGGAGGCCGAGATCCTGGAACCTCTAACCAGAGCCTGGTTGGAGGCCGAGATCCTGGGACGTGGGCGGGAGCGCAGACCCGCGCTGGGTCACCTGCTTGTTTCCCCACTGTCGTGTCCCCACCTTCTCCTGACGCCGCTGCTCTGCGATTTGCCAGCGGTGGGGAGTGGCAGGGAAAGCAGCCAGTGGGGTTGGGGCTTGGGGCTGGTGGGCGGGACTTAGGGAGCAGGACTGGGAGGAGCCGCGGGTGCAGTCGGAACGCTAGGCTGCGACTTGGAGCTTCCCGGGAATTTTGTGGCGCCTTGGGGCAAGTTCTAGGGAAGTGCGGGGTCTGAGCTACCTCCAGCACGAACGCCGGTCTCCTGCGGCAGCAGCTGGTAGACTGTACCTTTCCTTCCTTGCTTCCTTTCCTCCCTCCCTTCGTCTTTCATTTTCCTCCTTGATCACTTCCCTTCAACTTAAATCGCACCGTCCCCTCCACCTGCGGTACCAGGACTGAACTCGTGCCTCCTGCGGACCAGCACACTAGGGGAGCGCTGTACCCTGCGTTACGTCCCTGGTATCCCCCACCCTCCACCTGCCGGGCCACCAAATCCTTCTTGACCGACCTCCCCCTTAGGTTGTAGCCACAGAAGCCCTTTAGTTACTTAAATTAGTTCCTCCCTCCCCAGGTACCCCTCTTCAGCCTTTAGCTCTGTGCTCCTGTGCGGAGGGCACTGCTGACCCCCTCACCAAGGGCTGCTTTCTCCTCCCCTGTAACTTCCCGGTGGTTTCCAACTGTGTGTAATGATGCTGTGTCTTATGGACCTCCCCCCGACACACCTCCCAGTTCTCCCAGTACATCCCTGATTGCTGGGTCACAGTCTCTTTTTTTCTTCCTTTTACTACCTTTAAATATAGGGGAACCCCTCCATTAATTAAGTGAATTTGTCCTCGGGTGTCTCCACTAACCACATGTTCCAAGTCATTTCATCCATTCTCATTGACTCTCCTGGAATCAGGATGTTGATGACTCCCAGCCTCTCGTGCCAGGGCCTCTACTCACCGAGTGGCCTACCTATATGTCCAAACATCCCTGGCTGGCCTTGTTACAGGTCCACTTGGTATGGTATGCTCCCCGCCTCTCCAGTGGAATGTATGACCTTCCCCATTCCAGGGTGTCTCCTCCTGTAAGTTTCCTATGAATTTGGAGGGTTGCGCTCAGAATGATCCTGGCCTTCTGCTCAGCCTGTGTGGGCAGTCCGGCACTTCCCTCTCTCTTCTCCAGCACAGGTGTTTCCTCCACACAGGAGTCACTAGTCAGTGGTAGTGGTCTTCCTGCACGTTCTCCCCAGCCCTTTTCCTCACCAAATAGTGAGCCATGTCATTTTTCTAAAAGCCCAACCTACTCCTTAAGATATTTATTTAAAAACCACCTGTGGCTTTCCAGACCCTAGCCCCAGTCCAGACTCTAAGGCTAGCACTTGGGACCCATTTTGCCTCCCCCCCAGCAGATCCACTCCTTGGGCCCCGACACTACCATGCTCTTCCTGCTGCATTCTTCACACCTGCCAATCCTGAGAGCGACATTCCCCCTTTACACTGCCTACAAAAAAACCTGCCCAAACTTTCAGAACAGCTTCTCTGCAAGGGGGGATTCCTTAGCACTTTGAAAGTTTTTCAGTTATAGAGCACCTGGACAACTTATAGGCATGCATTTCAGTATGCATGTCTCCTCCTGGTCAGTAATTATTACAATTATGTTTTATTTCCTTCTCCCTAAGAATGTGGGGATGGTTCTATGGAAGTGCCCTTTGAATACATGGACTGTGGGATGTGTGGAGGGGGAGGGGTTTTGGAGAGCAGAATTCAAAGTGTTCAAGGGTCTCAGGAGGACAACCATGTCACATACTTGGAAGCAGAAGGCTTACTTCTGAGATCTTCTGTCATTTTTCCTGTGAGTCTGTAGATAGTACATAATTGTCCTTGTTTTCATTTGTTCAGCAATGAAAGGAACACTAGCTTAATATCAATGTATTTTATTGGCTGGAAATAAAAACTTTTCCTTGCTGTGTTTTTGTGACAATCTAATTGTAGCACTTGAACCTAATACTATTGTTTTGCATTACATTGAAATTAATTCCTTTTTAGATGTATTGGACAAGGTCTGTTTTGTTTCAGTTTTCAACCTTTTCAAAAACTTTAATGTACAGATGAGATTGAGCCCCAGAAAAAGAGGAGGGAAGTGATTCTGTTAGCTGGTCTCTGCGCCTGCCTGCCTGTTGGCATGAGCAGGATCATGCACCTGTGTGGGGGTGAGCCAGTATGTGTGTAGCTGTATGGGGTAGATATGGATGGGAATAGCTACACTACTGACCAGCACCTGAATGTTAGGAAGGGATGGAGGCGAGGAATTGAGATGAAGGAAGAGGAAGAAACCAGAAGTAAGAATTTACAATTAGGAGCAATTAAAATGTAAACGAGGTTGATGCAATAGTTTAATTCGCTTCCTTTTCCTGTTTGACAAGATAATCAATCAATCTCTCTCTCTCTCTCTCTCTCTCTCTCTCTCTCTCTCTCTCTCTCTCACACACACACACACACACACACACACACATGCATGCACACACAGTCACCACCCTAAAATCATGACTGCCTCAGCTGGAGTCCAAAGCTCTCATGCTAAGGTAGGATGAAATCCAAATTTATTTCTGACTGTCATATCCACTTTACCCAATTCTCTCTCTCTTTTCATTTGTTGGATGCCAGTGTCTGGTGAGCACAGTTTTATATGGTGTGAATATTGCTTGCTGTTTCCTTGTTTCTGAAGCGTCATCCAGTGTAACTGAGGCTGTCTGTGTAGGGCTGGAGGTGGCCTGAAGCAGGCTGGATGCTGCTTTGCTAGGGGGTGCATCTTTCTGAAACCACCCAGATTCAAAGTAAATTTTTTATCTTCCCATTTTTTATAGGTCCAACTATCCCAAATATACCCTCCAAACTTGGTGAAATATATCTAGCCATTTCCACAAGACATGATGACAGGAATGCAGTTTTTATTCGCTAGGAGTTATTTGATTCTTAGAAGATTCTGCGTACCTTACGCTGGAGACAACAAGCTGAAAGAGAAGTAGCAGCAATGTGGGGGCTTTGTGTAATGATGAAGGGTGCAGGCCCTGGAATCAAAGTGTAGGCTCAGCGAGATGATCCACAGGAAGCACTGAGAACAGTGCCTGGCACGGACCCTGCTGGCCATGGTCACACTGAGGGACGAGGGACTAAGCAGGTTTCGGAGGGTGTCCTGGCCCCGGTTTTCAAGAATGGTATCAGTGAGAATGGGCCACTCACTATTGGACATTTTGTGGAAAAAACTAAAACCAAGACCCTCACAATGTCTTAGTCTTCTATTGGCACTGTGACACCTTCCTACAAAGTTAGTGGCCACAGCACCATGAATTTATTATCTTATCGTTCTAAGGGTCATAAATTCAAAATGGTACCCAGAGCTGTTTGTTGCCTTCCTTCCTTCCTGATTTCCTTCTTCCTTCCCTCTTTTCTCCCTCCCTCCTTCCTCCTGGAGGCCCCAGGGTTCTGTTCTCTTCCTTTTCTGTCTTCTGGAGGCAGCCAAATTCCTTGCTCACGGGGGACCTGCATCCATCTGACTTCTGCTTCTGCCCTCAGGTCTCATTCTCCGACGCTGATCCTCCTGACTCCTTCTTATAAAAGCCCTCGGATTCCACTAAAGTCACCTGGATGATCCAGGATAATCTCCACATCCAGAACCCTTAGTTTAATCACATTTGCAAAGGCTCTACTGCCAGGTAAGAGGAGGCAGTCATGGACTGAGGAGGGGGAGCAGAGGTCCTGGGGATGCAGTTGCTCACCTGGCATGCCTAGTGTCCACAGATGGGGCACTGATGAGGGTGTGACTCCAGGAGGGCTTGGTTGATGTGCCTCTGTTCTGAATTTGGTCCAGACCTTCCAGATGGATGATATCAGTGAAGCAAATGGCACTTTTGCCATCACCTTACTCAAAATGTTGGGAGAAGAGGACAAATCACGGAACGTATTCTTCTCCCCCTTGAGTATCTCCTCTGCCCTGGGCATGGTCTACCTGGGGGCAAAAGGAAACACCTCAGTCCAGATGTCCCAGGTATGCATGCCTGCTGGAAAAAAGCAAAATAACAAGACAGGGAAGACAGGGTCCTTTTTTTCCCCCCCCTCACATACAACTGATCTTTCTTACTGTCACTCCAGCTGGTGGAAGCCAGGGTAGCCAGTAGGTGGGAGGAGGGTCCTGGGCCTATGCCTACTGGGGCAGACAGGGGAGTAGGCTGAGTGGAGTAGGATGGGTCATGTCCACTGATGTATATGGGAGAAATCAAGCTATAAAGTTATTTTCTTCAAATAAAGCAATCAAATAATCTAGTGGAATAACATCTTTGATAAATAAGGTTTAATTATAACTGTGTCTCACAAAGGAAAAAATTTCAACTTTGTTATATTTAAAACTTTTGATAGCATTATGTTTTAAATAGAAGTACAGCTGTGTAAATGGGCTTCTTATTAAATGGATTATTTGTAGTGTATGCTTATGCAGAGCAGAAGAAAAATGTAACATAAATATGGATTTAGATCTTTGGGGGTTATTTAGAAGGAAGGCATAATCTGATTGACCCTAAATGGTATGGACACCCTAATCTATAAACAAGGTGGTGGCTAGTACTTAAGGGACATTTTCCCACCATGTGGTGAAAACACCCCAGAAAATTGTCACATGGATGTCCCTTTGCCACTCACATCAGGGGTGTATGACAGTCTCCTGCAGTTGAGACCCCAGCTGAGATCCAGCAGTGGTTGTTTCAACTCTCTGGGGGAGGCTCTGAACTGAGGTGACAGGAGAACCCTTGCTTATCCCTGTGACTTGACTTGTAAATCAATCTGATCTGGAGAACTTCTGTAAAATTACAGAGGACACATTTTTTGTTTTTATTTGTATTCTTTTTTTTTTTTTTTTGCAATCGCTGGGTCATATTAGATTCACCCTAGCTACTTATTTTTTATGTTCCTGGGTTAATGCATGCTTCTTTCCTGGCATGGATAAATCTGCTACACCAGTGGCTCTCACCCAGGTGGGGATTTGCCTCCCTAGGGACACTTGGTGAGGTCTGAAGAGTTTTAGTTTTCTTAGTGTAGAGATGCTACCGCCCGCTAGTGGTCAGAGGCCAGAAATGTTGCAAAACATGCTACAAAGTACAGGGGTGGCTACTACCAAGAGTTTTCAGGCTCCAAATGTCAATAGTGCCAAGTTGAAGCCCCTGCACAATTAAAGCAATTAAGAAAGAGACATGTATGACGTTCAGTCCAGAATTTTGCTTGGAAATATCTCTTTGGGGCAGTATACTGCCATGTTAAATATGCTGCCTTTCTACTCCCAGGCTCTCTGTTTGAACAGAGATGGAGACGTTCACCAAGGTTTCCAGTCACTTCTCACTCGGGTCAACAAACCTGACACTCAGTATGTGCTCAGAACTGCCAGCCGACTCTTTGGAGAAAAAACGTGTGATTTTCTTTCGGTAAGTAGTACTCACACATTGATGGAAGCAAGCTGAAAATAAGAAACCACAGAGAAGCAGAGAATGAAGAGCTCTACCACCTTAAAAATGTGCTTAGAATTACATGTCTGCAGTTATAATTCTGAATTTTACTTTATGCCACTATGCATAATCCACAATGCTTCTGGGTTACGTCTTTTTAAATTAGTTCTGATATGTCCTTCCCTGAAGCCAGAGTCAGTACTTCCATCCTCCTGCACCCAGATGTTTTCTCCCCCTTCCCCATCTCTGAGAGACAGCATCATCCTGTGTGCTGGACAAAGCTCCTCTGCAGTGAGCTCCACCTATGTTCATTGAGCTGATTTCTGCTGAGGTGGCCTCTCAAACTCTCTTAAATTGGCTCCCTTCTCAATCACCACTGGCGATGCTTAGGTTTGGATTTATTGTATCTTTCACGTTACCATCCACTCCTCCTGACTGGCCTTCCAAGTCTTGCCAGGCCCTTTTGATTGTCTCATAAATCTACTTTCTTTCTAAACTGAAAATCTATTCACACTTCAGCATTTGATTCCAGAGTTCCCTGGTCTACTCTGAGCCCGACATAACACCATAAGTGAGCTCCAAAAAATTATGCCACAGAATATGCAAAGTGAGGCTGCCTTGAGATTAATGAACAATCAGGGCAAGCGTGGCCATCTGATTGGCACAGAGTTCCAAGGTTCTTATCCAAGATTCAGATATACCTTGGTCCTGGCTGCCATCTGATGGTGTCATGCAAAAGTTGTCTGCTCTGGACTCACCTATCACTGGAGGTGATTCTGGATCTCAGAAATGTTCTGGTGAACCAACATTCCTTTTTGAACATCCGTATGATCTTTGAATATTGGGGACATAGGAAACCAACGTTCGCCTTTTTCAATTGCTTGGCTCCTAAAATATTGGCAATGCTTAGAAGATGGGAGCTAGATGCTACATCTAAAAACAGATATTTGTGGGGAGAGTGATCTGGGATTTAATGTACTAGATACAAGTCTTTCCTGATTTGACCTCAGCTTATGTTTAAATTCTCTGAAATGCACAAACATACAGACATAGTCACATGTACACACAAATATGTACACATGCACACACATTTATGTGCACACCCATGCATGCACATATTCACACTCATTTGCTCATGTGCACACATACTAATCCAAAACTAGCACACTCCTCTCCCAGAGGACTTTCCTTGCTCCTTATTCTCCCAATCAACCATAATGTCCTAGATCTAAAATGCTTTTTCATTATTTGTCCAATTATAGATCTGATTTCTTGACAACTTAGTTCCTGTCAGTCATTCAACAAATATTTCAAACACTGGTTGGTACTGGCAATGTGGAAATGTAGAGTTGGACTGCCTACTGGGGTAAACAGAAAATCAAAGTCAATGCAGAGTATTTGACGGATGTTCCTGGGCTGTTTGGTGCAAGGGTGGTGACAGTCTTCACATCTTGTAAGTGTCTGTGTTTGGACTCTCTCTTATCAGGCAGTGGGCCATCTCATCAGACACCAAGTCTCCACCTGGTGTCCAACACCCAGCAGAGTGCTAGGCACAGAGTAGGTGGTCCACACATTTATGGTGATGTCATGAACACATCTTAAAATACAGCATGACCTCTGGAAGCATGGATGATACAAACACGTTAAGAGGGAAAAGAAATTTCTTTCACAATTGTGGGCACCTTTGTTGAATCAGGCCAAACTCAGCGTTGTGTGTTTGTAGACCTTCAAGGAATCCTGTCAGAAGTTCTATCAGGCAGAGCTGGAGGAGCTGTCCTTTGCTCAAGATACTGAAGAATGCAGGAAGCACATCAATGACTGGGTGTCAAAGAAGACTGAAGGTAGGAGGCTTTAATGTAGGTGGACCTGGAGGTACCATGCAAGAGGAGGCGGGACGGAACCGCCAGGAAGCTACCGCCATGACCCAGTTACTAGAGGCTTCTTTGTGTGCTTTCTGGGTTTTCAGGCCAATGATGCATTTCTGTCATTTCTCTTGGGCTTACCACATTACAAATTAGGGTTAACAAAGTGAAATAAACTTGATGTTGGGATTTCAGACTCCATGCTCCATATTGTGCTGGAAAATTCCCAATAAATGCTTCTTTTGGGGGCCTGCTTATCTTCTCCCAGGGAGACCCTGGCCATGAGCTGATGCAGATGATATTCAGTTAAATTGCAGCCCAGAGACATCAGTTCCCGGTGTCACATGACCTCCCTGTGGTACCTGAACTAGTTTTTTTTTTCCCTTAAAATATACACTTATATCATTTATTAAACTGAATAATAATATATAGCACATACAATTATACCCAATTATACCTTATTATAATAACAAATAACTATGAATTTGTCCCCTTCCTTAAGTGACACATCATTTAACTTGAATAAAAATGGACAATAATGAATAGGAATTTCTTAAAAGAACAGAGGTGTGGAATTAAAAATTGTTATGGAAAATAAGAAAAATCCCATATCCAGAGTAGGTAGGCTCTATTTTATTAATTCTTTGAAATTGTTGAGACTTGACATTTAGCTTAAGCAATTTTATAAACAATCACTTTTATCAATGTTTTTAGGATGAATGTACCACTTTTAGTTTACAGCTTTTTGATTGTGTCACTCTAATTTTGGCATCTTTGGGGCAGGTTAAAATCTCCAACTATGATTGTGTACTTTTCAATTTTTCTCTGTAAGTCTATGAATTTTTACCTTATAGATTTTGAAGTAATCCTATTAGGCAAATATAACTTCTAATCTATAGCTACTTTCTTTTCATTTTTGAAGTTATTCATTTTATCCATGATGTCTATTGTTTACAAAATTATTATTATTAACTTTTATTTGGTATTTGCTTGATAGATTTTCTCCATCAACTTGCTGGAGGGGCTGGTGGATCTCCTCTGTCATTGGGACAAATCAACTTGGGTCCCTCTATTCCATCCCCCAGTTCCTCTGTCCCATTCACTCCTCTGAGGTGGCCTGACCTCTCCCACCCACAGGTGTATATTCCCCATCCTTTGGGACATTGGAAGGTTGGCTCAGAGCAGTGGTTCTCAGCCAGGGGTGGTTCTGGCTCCTGGAGACGAGATGGTTAAGACATTTTCAGTTGTCACAATTGCTGAAAATCCTGCCGGTTCAACATTCTACAATGCACAGGACAAAGATGTATCCTGCCTAGGAAGGCAGTAATGATGCATTATGTCAATAATGATGCTGAGATATTACCATGCTAGGGTCAGTCAAGAGCCCACAGTGAAAATGAAAACTCGGGTTATTTTCCCACTGGCCACCAGTGTGAACTTGGCACAAAACAGGGCACATGCTCTGATCCTGAATTTCTGTATCTAGAAACTGAGGTAAAAACCAAAGTTACAAATACACACGTCAAGATGGTTCTTTAGGGATAACTGCTGCACTGGGTGTGAAAGACAGACCTGGCCTGGCTTCGCACCAGTCCCAGGGCTTCGTATGCCCAGGGGTTGAAGAAGAGTGTGTATGATCCCCCAAATCACTAGAAACTTTTCTTGTATTCTTCACAGGCAAGATTTCAGAGTTGCTGGGTCCTGGGACAGTCGATCCACTGACTAAGTTGGTCCTTGTGAATGCCATGTACTTCAAGGGAAAGTGGAATGAGCAATTTGACAGGAAGTACACAAGGGGGATGCCCTTTAAAACCAACCAGGTGGGGACATATTTTCCCATGTACTGCTACTTCTTTAAAGCATATGATGAATGGAAAACTGAATAACTTATGTCATGTCATCTTGGTTCTTAATCTATTTCAGAATGAATTTAATACCCCCTCCCATATATCTTTAATTGGACTAGGAGAAAACACTAAAATAAATGTATTGATAGTTCTGTTTTTACATACATAGTGACACTATGTTTTTACATACGTAGTGACACTGTCTGTATTTACTTATGATACCTTTCTGCAATGTCAGTGGCAGTAATCGCTGTATATTGCCTTGGAATTCTTGATCCTACAGTTCTGAACAAAAGAAAAAAGTCTCAGCTAATATTAAAGTTAACTTTAAAAACAATTTTCTGCCTTTCCCTTTAAATATGGTAATGGCTAAGGTCGATACTTGTTAGCTAGAAATCTGACCTTCATTAAATTGACCTCCTGACAACAGCATATTGCCCAAAGATATGAAAGCAAGCATATATTTAAAGCAAGCTTTAAAAATGCCTGACCTTATACATCTTGTCATGTTCCCCTCTCCAAGAAAACCAAAGCCATAAAGTAAATTATGTAACTGGGCAACTTTTAGAGTAAAAATATAATTCCCTTTGGCCTATTCATCTTTTCTAGCCAGATCCTTCAGCCCCATAGCTGAATATTAGTTCATGCTCCTCTTAACTTGGAGAAATAATTTTTAATTATAAGGTCCATGGGAGTGCTTCTCTATGGAACTTCTCAAAAGAGCAAACACAATTTCTTCCAAAAATAATGTACTCTTTTATGTCCTTCTGCATTCATCAAACTGTTCTCTCTTACCTGGTTAATAATACTTTTTTGGGGGAACAATAGCCTGTTCTGCTCAACACTGAGATACACTAATGGAGATTTGAATTCTAACAGCATAAATGCATGGGAATAATAATTGTCTTATACTTCTCTAGAGTTCTGTGAGTTAAATATATATTATTTTGATGAATTGTGCTTATTTTTAAGGATCTAACTTTTAATTTCATGTTTTTGCTAGGAGCAGAAAACAGTGCAGATGATGTTTAAACAAGCCAGATTTAATTTTGGGTACGTGGAGGAGGTGCACACCCAGGTCCTGGAGCTGCCCTATGCAGAGGAGGAGCTGAGCATGATCATTCTGCTTCCCAATGACAGCATTGACCTTGCCACGGTGAGCTCTGGGCAGCCAGTCTGTGTCTGTGGATTCTAGATGAGTCCATTTCTTCAAGTCCATCTGCCACATGGCATTTGAGGTTCCAGTTATGGGTTATTACAAGTGCTGCTGGGGAACACAGATGCATGTCTTTTGGTGAATATGTATACTCATTTCTTTTGAGTAAATGTCTAGGAGTGGATGAGTATTGGTGAAGCTACAATAGCATTCTTTATTCTAAAGGGCAGGATTGGAACCCTCAGAACCCAGTAACTCTTGGACGAAAGTCCTGGAAGAAGGGTAGGGATCGGACTGAGCAGTGTTTCTCAAATATTAATGGGCATATGAACCTTCTGGGGATCTTGTTCAAATGCAGATGTTGACCAGTGGACTGTGCTTTGAGACTGCTGTTCTTGCAAGGTTCCAGGTGGAGCAGATGCTACTGATTAACAGACCACACGCTGAATAGGAAGGGTCTAAAGTGCAGGTGAGGGATTTACCTTAGATAGAAGGAGAGAAGAATTTTCTCATGATAGAACAGAAACAGTCCAGGAAAAGAGAAGTAAACTGGGAAGGTAAGAGGTGCAGGGTCCATTTACACACGTTGGTAAAGTATCTCCCTGAGAGCTGGGAGTGGCCCTTGTTTTTAGTTTGCTGAGTCCCATGGAGTCAATATTTCCATCCTGGCTGATAAGATCCAGTTCAGCATACCAGTGAACAGGAACGTGAGGGCGGGCCACTGGATTTCCTCAGCTTCTCTATGGAGTCAGAAAGGTATAGGCATTAGAATGGATCTGTCATGGCCACCCCAGGGAGAAATTTAGGAGAGCTTAGGAATAGAGCCAGAGTCAGAACCACTGTCCCTGGAAAGGGACACTCAGCTGAGCACTATTTGGTAAAGGAATGGGAGGAGCAAATGGAAGCTAGTGTCCTTCCTCCTTCCTTCCCTCCTTCTTCATGGATCAACAGAATCAGTGATGAGCTTGTAGGATTTGAAGCTGACTGATTATATGAATATGAATATGAAATTAATTGGTCATGTTTTTTCTAAAATGTAAAAAAAACCTTAATATTTAAAATGAATTTAGTGAGATTGTTTCTATTAATGCTTCCTGTTTCTCTAAGGTGTCTTCTAGCTCTTCAACTCTTATATCCAAAAGACAGGGAAAAGATGGGATTTTGAGGGAACACTTAGTGTTTTTATAGCCAGAAAAACATCTGAAGACAGTGTTGGACAAGAACTCACCATTTAGCTCCATGTCATGGGGAGAGGGGTAATATGTGGGTGGTGGCCACAGGCTGTGTTCCTCTAGAGTTTAAGATCTGACCCTTTGCTGTTCCAGGTGGAAGAAGCGCTTACATATGAGAAGTTCAGAGCCTGGACAGATCCAGAAAACATGAGAAAAAGTAAAGTTCAAGTTTTCCTTCCCAGATTAAAGCTGGAGGAGAGCTATGACTTGGAGTCTTTCCTTCGCGCTTTAGGAATGACTGACGCATTTGAGGAAACCAAGGCCGACTTCTCTGGAATGTCAAATAAGAAGAACATGCCTGTGTCCAAGGTTGCCCACAAGTGCTTTGTGGAGGTCAACGAGGAAGGGACCGAGGCAGCTGCAGCCACCGCGGTGGTCAGAAATGCCCGGAGTGTGAGAATAGAACCAAAATTCTGTGCAGACCACCCCTTCCTTTTCTTTATCAAGCACCACGAAACCAAGAGCATCTTGTTCTGTGGCAGGTTTTCTTCTCCGTAAAAAGGTGCAATTTCTGTACCTGCCCTCCTTTCCCTCTGCCTGCTCTGCCTGAGTTAAAATTCCACCTGGCCAAATTGGTGCAGTGGCTTGAATGCTGAAATAAAGTGTGTGTGCACTTGGTTGTTTGCAAACATCTTTGTGGCCATGCAGTGCCGTGCAGAGGGCAGAGGGTGGATCACTGAAGCCTCAGTGTGTGAAATTGGGCTGGGAACACTTGATTTACATGATTGGGGTAACTTTTGCTGTCTCTGCCCTCTCCTGATGTCCTTGTCCACTGTTTGTGAGCATCTCTGGGACTCATGATCCAGCCCTCAGTGTGCTCTTCCATCCTGCCATGACCACCACTCTGCCCACCACCACAGCCAGGCTAACCAGGGGACCCCAGGGCACAGGCCCACTACACACAAAGCCATGGGTGACGCCTACAGAGTCAACACTGGAGCCTCTCAGAGTCTCACTAACAGCTGAGATGGTGTCTGTCCCCCAGCAGAGTCACACAGTGTCTCACAGGGACTCATGAAAACAGCTCTTTGGCTCTTATTTGCACAAGCCACAGATATGAGTGCAGGGGCTCGGCAGTGAGTATCAGGACTGGGTTGGGAGGCACGTCTCCTAACCGTGCCCTGTGTTGTTCTCCTTCACTTCCCTTGGACTCATAATCCAAGTGTCAGAGGGACCTTCAAACCAAACATCTCTTAGAAGCCATCATACCTTTGATGAATCATGTGTGCTCAGACATGAACCACACACCTCGGTTCAAGAGGGAGCCTCTGACCATAAAGAACTTGTATTGTGACAACTCTTTGGAAATTACAGGAAAGCATACAAAAAAATTTAAATCATCCACAGTCCTACTATTCAGCAGTCACTGTTGTTAATGATACACATTGTTCCCTATTTTATGAAGGCAAATATTTTTGTGTGCGTGCACATGCACGTGTGTGGGTGTGTATGTTACTAAAGATTGAACCCAGGGATGCGCTACCACAGAGCTACATACTCGGACCTTTTTGTTTTGAAGTAGCATCTCACTAAGCTTCCCAGGCTGGCCTTGAACTTGCGATCTTCTGCATCAGCCTCCCAAGTAGCTGGAATTATAGCCATACACCACTGTGCCTGGCACAAATATGACCTTATAATTTTTGCACAAGTTAATCATAATTTCTGTAGCTTATTTCTACTCTTATTAGGAGACTTTCTCAAGATAAGACTATCCATGTCATCAACTTGATGTGTATAATATTCTGCTTTATGGTTATATTTTTATAAGTGAATTTTTGTAGGCAATTTGGGTAGCTTGACTTATTTATGTTATATATGCACTGTTATGAATATCCTTAATATTTACTCACATCCTTAATTAATTTTCAAAGAAGCATTCCTAAGAATGGTTCTGTCAAGATAAAAATTGGGTACATTTTGAGACTTCCAAATTGGTCTCCAAAAATTTGTGCTGATTTACACCTCCTGATGTTACCACTTACACTAGCATTAACTGCTGCCTGCCTTATTATTAATTTTTATGAGTGGGACTATTAACAGTGGTTATTCCTGGCTACTTATGATTCACAGTTAGAGTTACATGAACCATTTATATTACAGTTCTTACTTAAAACTCACCAGGATGGAATATATTCTCAAGTCATGTTCATTTCAGGAATCAAGCAAGCTTGGCTAAAAATTAATTCACGACTGGAAAGTGTGTATATGTGAGTTTTGATTTCATTTCAATGTCTAATTTAAAAATACACCTTTTCTGAGGTATAACTGGCACAAAATAAACTTTGCATATTGACTGGGTGCACTTTGGTAAGTTCTGATGTATGTACCTGTGATACCATCACCACAATTTAAATAATGAGCATATCTATCACACCCCTGAATTTCCTCTTGAGCCTTTGGAATCTCTCCCTCCTTCCCCTCCTGAACCCACCTCCTCAGGCAGCCACAGATCTGCTTTCTACCCCTCTAGATTAATTTGCATTTTCTAGAATTTTAGTTACATGGAACCATACGTTACTTCCTCCTTTTTGTATGTGTCCTGTAGCTCAATACAATTATGTTAAGATTCTTCCACATTGTATAAATCAGTAGTTAGTTCCTTTTATTGTTGAGTAACATGTTGTTGTATAGATATGCCACACTTTGTTTATTCGTTCACATTTTGATAGATATTTAAGTTGTTCCCAAAGTTTGGCCCTTGCAGGTTGTGAGCACTCACTTTGTATGTTCCCGTACTTTCCTTTACATAGACACACAGACGTGGGATGTTCAGGCTGTATGGAAGGGGTGTGCTTAACATTTCAAGAAACTGGATAATTCTTTCCCAGAGTGGTTACATAGTTTAACATGTTCAAAAAAGTATATGGGGATTTTGGTTGCCCTGTATCTCACTAACACTGGGTATGGTCAATGGTGCTGATTCAGGAATGTGGTAGTATATCTTTGCAGCTTTAGTATGCATTTTCCCAATGGCTAATTAATTATGCACAGCATTTTTTCATGTGGTCATTTGCTATCCATGTATATTCTTTGGTGAAATATCTTTTTAAATAATGCAAGATCACAGGATCTATGTTTTCTTATAAGAACTGTATGGTTTTAGTGCTTAATTTGAGATCCGTTATATATTTTGAGTGAAGTTTTACACATTGTAAAGAAGGTGTCAAACTCCATCATTTGGCATATGAAAGTCTGGTTTGGTTTACATCATTTATTGAATTAACATCTTTGTGCCATGGAAGACTTTATTGGGAATAATCCATTTATATAAAAATAAAAGTGAATGTTTTGAGGTTAAAAACAAAGAAATATCTTTTTAAATTTACCACCCATATTTTATAGCTTTTTGTCTTCTTAATGTATTTTGAGGAATCTCATGTTACAGATGAGATTCTTTGTCAGAAAATGTGTTTTGAAAATGTTTTGACCACAGGTTACATCCTGAACTTACCTTATGATAACAGTGCGTTTAAAAAGCAATTGTTCTTAATTTTGATCAAGTACAATTTGCTAGTTTTTTTTTTAATACATACAATTTTTGTTGTCATCTCTCTCTTTGCCTAACCCAAGTTTATAAGAATTACCTCTTATGTTTCTTAGAGGAATGTTAATAGTATTCATTTTTTTATTTGAGCCTAGGATCCATTTTGAGTTCACCTTTTTGCATGAACTCAATATATTGAAAAGACTATCCTTTTTCCACTGAATCACTGTTACATCTTTGTTGAAAATCAATTGATTATATATATGTAGTTCTATTCTTGTACTTTATTGGATTCCATTGATTTACTTGTCAATCCTAATGCCAGTACCACACTCTCTTGATTACTGTAGCTCAATAATAAATTTTGAAATCAAGTAAGTCTTCCAACGTGATTCTTATATTTTAAAGTTGTTTTGGCTATTTTAGCTTTATGTTCTTCTATGGATTTGTGAATTAGTTTTTCCACTTGTACAAAAGTTTGCTAGAATTTTGATTGGGATTATATGGATATTAAATATTAATTTGGATTAACATGACCAAGTTTGAATCTTTCAATCTATGAACAAAGTATATTTCTCCATATTAAAGTATTCTTTAACAGCATCATTTTGTAGTTTTCATTAAGCAGTTCTTCCACAAATTTTGTCAGATTTATTCCTAAATATTTTAGGCTTTTAAGCTATTATGGTATTACTTTAAAATCTTGGTTTCTTATTATTTGTTGATATTTTTTGGAAACATAATTGATTTTTGTATTTCAATCTCATTTCCTGCAAACTTACTTAAATCAGTCAGTTCTAGTATTTTTTTTGTTTGTTTTCTGTTTTTGTAGATTCTCTGCTAAAAAAAAAGAAAAATTTTCTTCTCACCTTACTATATAAATATTTTTCATTTTTCTGACTTTCTGGTTGTTGGTTAGAGGTAGCAGGAGAACACAGCCTTGTCCTGCTCCTGATTTCAGGGCAGTGTGTGGTCTTCCCTCGGTACATGTGACCTTAGTGGTAAGTTTCTCTCCTGTGTTCTTTACCTGGTTGAAGAAAGCCTGTCCATTCTTCCTTTGCTGAGAGGTGTATATTTTATTTGTTTGTTTTAAAAATAAGAAATCGATGTTGGATTTGATCAAATTCCTTTTCTGTGTCTTTGAGATCATCCTGTGGTTTTTTTTTTTTTTAAAGAGAGAGTGACAGAGAGAGAGAGAGAGAGAGAATTTTTAATATTTATTTTTAGTTCTCGGCGGACACAACATCTTTGTTGGTATGTGGTGCTGAGGATCGAACCCGGGCCGCACGCATGCCAGGCGAGCGCGCTACCGCTTGAGCCACATCTCCAGCCCTCATCCTGTGGTTTTGTTTGTTTAGGTTGTTAATATTTGTGCTTACGATTTTCATGTTAAAAATGGGATGAATCCCACTTCATCGTGGTGCTTCTCCCAATTCATATAATATTGGATTAAGTTTGTTAAACTACTTTTAGAATTTTTCACCTGTGTTCATGGGGATCCTTGGTCTGTGTTTTTTTTTTTTTTTTCGTCTCCCCTCTCTTTCCCTCTCACTCTCTCTCTTCTTCCTTTCTCCTTCCTTCTCTCTCTCCCTCCTTCCCTTTCATGCCTTTTCCTGGTTTGGTTTCAGGGGTAACTCTGGGCTCACAGAATGAGATGAGAAGCACGTTAGACCTTTTAATTTTCTGAACTGGTTTTGTGTGACTGGGATTTTTAATGTTCAAAAGTAGTTGCACAGTCAATTTATATAACTGCTTTTTAGGACAAACTTTGACTTATTCAGAGACATCAGCATCTCTGTCCCATCGAGCTGCTTTGCTGTTCCCTTCTTGTCCCAGCTGGCTCAACTTTCAGAATGAGATGCTTTCCATGATTGGTTCTAAAACCGTATTAAAAGTTGTGTTTTTCTCAGAGCATATTTTGAATACTTCTTTACAGAAGAGGTCATGATTTATTATTTTGGTCCCTAGGGAGCTATTCTGATTGCCAGTCTGCCCACAGGAAGGTGGGAGCCATGGAGCCATGGAGCCGCTGTACTTCCAACTCCTTCCTGCTTCCCAGTCCTCAGCCTGCTGGGAACTCGGACTCCCACCAGTGCCTGGCATTCTCCTGCCTCTTCGCTGAGCACTAGTTCCTCGCCCTTGATT